ATACACACACACACATACACACACACATACACACACACATACACACATACACACATACACACACATACACACACACATACACACACACACATACACACACATACACACACATACACACACACATACACACACACATACACACACATACACACACACATACACATACACACACACACATACACACACATACACACACACACATACACACACACACATATATACACACACACACACACATCGTGGCTCCATCTGATGAATGTTTTCATCTGATAACAGGCTTTGATGGCCAAGAAAATCAGAGAAACTTCTAAAGAACATCACCCTTTGAAGGTTATGTTCAGAGATAACGATTTCAGGTTCATCTGCCAGCTGTCTCCCCTGGGACCCCCAGGGATAGCTGTGTTCCAGGCACAATCCTCTGGACACAACATGACCAGAGGCAAATTCGAATGGGCTTCCAGGGAGCCATCTGAGAGTGTGTGAGGCAGGCAGCTGCTGTCTGGGCACAGGCTTCTGCCGGCTGAACTAGAGCACTTGACAGTACCTGACGGGCAGCAGGGTAGAGTGACCAGCAGGGAGCACCACAGCAGGGAGCACCACCTCGGGGGTTAGAGTGGCCAGCAGGGAGCATCACCTCAGGGTGAGTCTGTGACTTGAGTGTTATGTTTCCGCACTTTGCAGATGGCAACGGGTTGACAAAAAATAACGATGGCCTCGGCAGAAACTTTGCTTCCAACAGCAGCTCAGTGGCCGCTGCCATCCTGGTGCCTTTCATCGCTCTCATCATTGCTGGCTTTGTCCTCTATCTCTACAAACACAGGTAGTGGGAAGGCTGAGGCCAGGGGCTCAGCTGTGACCCAGGCCTAGTACCCTGAAGGCAGAGCCAGGGAGAGCAACTGTGTACCTATGTATACCCAGGCCTAGTACTCTGAAGGCAGAGGCCAGGGAGAGCAACTGTGTACTCAGTCCTAGTACTCTGAAAGCAGTGGCCAGGGAGAGCAACTGTATACCCAGACCTAGTACCCTGAAGGCAAAAGGCCAGGGAAAACAACTATGTGCCCAGACCTAGTACACTAAAGGCAGAGGCCAGGGAGAACAATTGTATACCCAGATCTAGCACCCTGAAGGCAGAGGCCAGGAGAGCTCAGCTTTGTACCCAGACCTGGTACCCTGAAAGCCAAACCCAGGGGACTCAGCTTTGTACCCAGACCTAGTACTTTGAAGGCAGAGACCAGGGAAAGCAACTGTGTACCCAGTTCTAGTACCCTGAAAGCCAAACCCAGGGGACTCAGCTTTGTACTCAGATCTAGTACCCTGAAAGCAAAACCCAGGGGGCTCAGCTATGTACCCAGACCTAGTACCCTGAAGGCAGAGGCCAGGGAGAGCGACCCAGCCCAGCCCACCCCACCCAGCATCCTCCTGACTCAGAAGAATGTAACTTTCTAAAGGGAGAAAAGACTCCTCTCCTCTCTTGCTTTGGATCCTGTGTCATCTTTTAATTCAAGGTCTCTTATTCCCAGGAGAAGACCCAAAGTTCCATTCAATGGCTATGCTGGCCACGAGAACACAAACGTGCGGGCCACATTCGAGAACCCCATGTATGACCGCAACATCCAGCCCACAGACATCATGAGCAACGAGGCGGAATTCACAGTCAGCACAGTGTGTACTGCGGTATAGCCCCCAGGCCTGGCTGCAGCTGCCACCGCCACCGAGAGCCCCGCCGCCAGCAGCCGGTGAGACTTGGGGTCTGGAGGAGGGTGGGAGACAGACTGGCTCTGCAGGGGACATAGGGACCTATGTACACACTGCTCCTGCACACAGGGACACCCCCTCATCACGCCCTCACTGCAGATGAGACAATTGAAGTTAAGCACGTAAACATTAAAAAACTTGAACAAGGCCGTGTATCTAAGAAGAGTGGGTCAGAATCTGAACTGCAGTAGGAAAGTTGACCCACAAGGGAATAAAAGACATAGCCAGGAAAAAGCCAGGGGGATGTGGCAACCATCTGGAATTCCACTGTTGGGGAGGCAGAGAGAGGTGTCAGGAACAAGATGATGGCCAGACTAATTGACATGTGAAGGTTCCAGAATCAACGTCTGGCCTCCACACACATGTATGCATGCATGAGCACTGCACTTTATGTTGCCCGTGCATATGCAAACATGCAGACATGACATACATACACATGTGTGCGCACACATGCACATACACAGGTGTGCATGCACACACACACATGAAGGGGTTGGGTAATAAGTGCTCTACCGCTGTGCACACTTCCAACACATTCCCATCCCCAGTTTAAGAAGACTAAAATCCAAAACTGAAAGACAGAACCAACTGACACCCTTCTGTTCTTTCCTCCTGCTTGGCTTTACCTCTTTGTCACCCCCCCTCCCACTTCTATTCACACCCTACCTCACCCCTCCTTTCTCTCTTCCACTACCTGCTGTGTGTGTGGTCTGTTGGTTCCCAGCTCCCCAGGGGGCAGGAAGGAGCTCCCCTGAGCACAGCGCCCAGTGCCCATCTTCGTCTGTCCCTCCGCCTACGTCTGCCACTGCTGGGACTCAGGCCCTTGCCCGCCCTGCCTCCATCTGTGCTTGTCACCCTGGAGAGGACTCCACGATGCCCTGGTGTAGGGCAGTAGAGGAAGAGGGCTGCAGCTGGAGGAAGGCAGACGGATTAAAAACAGGGGTGTGCACCTGAGCACACCCAGCCTCTCCTTCACTGTGTCCTACGGAAGAGACCACAGAGGCTTAAAAAAGGGAAGTGTATGCATGCGAGGGTGTGTGTGTGTGTGTGTGTGTGTGTGTGTGTGTGTAGATGCCCTAGACACTCTTCCCCACAAACCCAGAGGAAATGATGAGAGAGGCATCATTACCTCTCAAACCAACATGTCCCCATGCATGGGGACCCGGAGAATGAGTAAGAAGGACACATCCCATGGAAGGCAGCATGCAGAAGCCACCTGGCTGCAGGGGTGGCCCTATTTGCACAACTATAGCAAGGATTACCTGGAAGAGAAGGGGGTAAAGTCTTCAGATCTAATTAGGTAATCGATGCAAATGTTTTTCAACCACAATGGCATTGAGTTCTAAACCCAGTAAAATAAAAAGTCATTTGGGGTCCTGGGCAGCTTTGGCAAAGAAGGGTAAAGTCATGGTGGAGTTGGGGGATAGAACAGGAATCTGGTTCAGGAGCCTAGCATCACATCTGGCTGTCAGCTGACCAAGAGAATAGAAAAAGACCTCTACAGAACAGACAGCACACCCCGGAGAGGACAGGAGCAAACCAGTCCTGGCTCCCAAAAGGTGGTGGCCACCGCTTACTGACTTATTCTCCGTGCCTGACTCTTTACATGTCATTTCTAGTTCTTAAAACACCACCAAAGCAGGACTTGCTATTTCCATTCAGAGGTCAGGGAAGATGGAAGCATGAGCCACCGAGAACACCGGAGATGTGAACACGAATCTCTTTGACCCTCAAGCCTACCGCGCCTGCTGCCAGAAAACTCGTGTCTACAAGAGGCACCAAAGGCAGGAAGGTAGGGGAGTCTCAACAAGAGGAAGTGCGTGTCTAATCTGAATGTTGCTGTCCGTGCCTGGGCAGCACCAGATCAAGCACCAGAGCCCCAGCCTCCTGAATTGGTGCTTGCCCCTTGGCTTCCAATGGCCCGCAACCACAGCAGAGGACCTGGCAGCCCCTTAATCAAGAGAACTGAATGAAGTCACCTTCTCTCCAGCTCCTGGTGGGTGGCTCAAGAGTCACTTAGGCCAGTGTTTTTCAACCTGTGGATCACAACCCTTTTGTGGGTCAAGTGACCCCTTCACAGGGGTCTCCTAAGACCATCCTGCATATCAGATATTTACATTATAATCCATAACAGTACCAAAATTGCAGTTATGAATAGGCAACGGAAATAATCTTTTGGCTGGGGGTCACCACCACATGAGGAACTGTATTAAAGGGTGGCAGCTTTAGGAAGGTTGAGAACCACTGATTTAGACAATGTCACTGTGTTTAGGTCATTAATGAATTCCTAATGAGTGTGTTGGGGAAGCTCGTGAGTTTAGAAATCAACATAATGACATTTAGATTCACTTTTTCCACATCTACGGAAGGTCTCCATGAGCATACACGCCTGCTTCCGTGTGAACGGCAGCCTCCGACGCTTGCAGGACATACAGAAATAACAAACAGAATGCGTTTAGGGATGAACAGGGAGAGCTGCACCGCTCACAGGAACAATTAAAAGAGCTCAATGAGAATGGGCTGAAGTGAGGGGTTCTCCATTTCCAACAGGTACATTGAAGACCACAAGGGCAGGCCTACTCCTGCCCACACACCCTCTGGCCCTCTGGGACTCTGCATCCCTACACCCGGTGGGAGAGGACCAGCCTAGACAAACTAGTTCATGCTCATTCTGCCCTTGGTGGTGAATGCAGGAGGTTCTCAGGCTCCTTCCCCCTTCTTCCCCAAAGCTAACCCAGTGTGCTCACTCAGCCCTGCCTCGCTCCCTCCCCTGTGTATACTTGGGAGATCTCAGGAGACACTCAAGGAGCAAAGGCTGGTGGGTACCCAGCACCTGCTGTGTGTCACCCTCCCTCTGGCGTTGGGCACTGTCTCTTCATCCCCAGGGGCTCAGAAGGGAACAAGACAGATGAAGCCCTTCACCCACCATCCATACCCTGTACCTACCACCTCCATCCCATGAGGAAAAAAAAAAAGTAAAACAAAAACAAAAAAAAATCTTTTGTACAGAGATATATTTTTATTATACAAAGTTTGTACAGTACCAAAAAAAAGACAGAAAAAAAGGTGTACATTTTTTTCATTATTGTAGGTAAATGGTGTGGGAGCCTTTTTGTAAATGTAATAAAATGTATAAATATGGTTTTCAGAAAGCATCCCGTGCTGTAAATATGTAATCTACACCCCTTCTTGGCCTGTCTGCAGTGTGTGCATTTAATTTATCTGTCTCTGTATATGAGGCTTCCCCCCCTGGGGTTCTGCATTATGGTCCTTTCCGGAATTTGAAAGCAATTTTAAATTTTTTGAATTCAAATAAAATATAAATTTTTGCATTGGTTTTCTTACATTTTTATGGCCTCTTTCGTGGCTGGGGGCAGGTGTTTCCTGGTGATGAGGAGAGGGAGTTTGGCTGGGACTGTGGAGGTCAGGCTCCACGAATTCCAGGGTGTGGGGAGGTCTTCCAGGTAGGGCAGTCTCTAAAGGAACAGAGAGCTTGGGAGGGGGGGGGGGTTGGGAAGTTGTCATTTTATGTGGAAAGCATGCCCAGGTTACCTTCAGCCTCCTGGCTTCATGTCCATCCGTCCTCACTGCACTTCAGTTCTAACTTCCCTTCTTAGTGACCCAATTTAAGCCAACTTCCCCAGTTTTGGTGAAGGCATTTTGTCTGGCATACAGCATCTAGTATTTACCTTCTAGCCAATGAGAGCCAGAAGTATGGGCTGATCCTTGCCACTAAACCTCCCTCAGTTTGGCAGGGTTCGCTGTCAGAAGGTGCCATGGGTGAAACAAGCCCCGTTGCAAAGGAGATGGCTCAGAACAGAATTTTACCCCGGTTCATCCGGAAAGCAGCAGGTAATTTCTCACTGTCCCCAAACACCAGGACAAGGCAAGAGTTCCTTAAGTCTGAGGGTACAGAAAGAGGGGCGGGGTGACCACAGAGCCAAGGGACAGCACGCTCGCCAGCCCCTCTGCACAAGGGAAGAAGGTACCTGTTGTGCTTTGAACACAAATTGTCCCCCCCACCCCTACTGACATGTGTGTTTGCACACTTGGTCCTTGGCTAGTGCTTTGTAGAAACTCTCAGAAACCCAGCCTTGCCAGGGGGAGTAAGTCAGTGGGGTCTAGCCTTGAGGGTTAATAGGAGCCCGCCTCCCCCCATTTTCTGACTGTGCACACAATGTGACTGGCTGCTTCAGCTCCTGCCATCATGTTTTCTCCACAATGATAAACTGTACCCTCAAACTGTAACACAAAGCAAAACCTTCCTCCCTGAAGTTGTTCCTGCAGAGTCCTTGGTCACAGCAAAACTAATTAATCCCGCACCCTCGAACTAAGAAACCATAAGCAACCGAAGCCACCTTACCCTTCCCGCACCAGAACTGTCCAGAGCTCTGCACATGTGTTTTATCATGAACCATAGGGCATCCACAGATCTTCATAGTTTCCACAAGAATAAGAAGTACAGGTTCAGCAAGATGGAGCCGTGAGCAAAGGCACTCGCTGCTCAGGCCTGACAACCTGAGTCTGATCCCTGGGACCCATGTGGAAAAGCCAGACTCAATATGCATCTGCAGCCTCAGTACTTATACAGGAAGATGGGAGAGGAGATGGGAGACTTGTTTGGCATCTGAAAGGCCAGCTGATCGGGAGGTCACAGGACAGGAGCAACAACAGGAAGACACTACCTCAAGAAGGTGGAAGGAGAAAACTGACTTCCGAAAGTTCTGACCACCATTCCTGTGTATGGCACGTATGTGAACACACACAAATGCACACATGCCTGAATGTACACATACATATGTGCACCCACATACACACACACACACGTACATATGCACACACATACCCAGACACACACACACATGCACACATGCATGAACATATATAGTGCACCCACATGCACACACACAGGCATGTACTCATGC